ACAAATCGATAGGCATCTTAAAAGCCACATTGATTGTAGGGAGGGGGAAAAACACCAAGGGGGATGGGAAGATAGATAGAGACAACCAGTGAGGGAAAGAGAGGGGAAGGAAAGGAAAGGAGGTGGGATAGGAAGGAGACGACGAGGGATTATACAGCACAAGAGAGAGGAGAGACAAGTAATTAGTGGAACAATAACAGAAGTAATTGAGTGTATTTTTGAGAGCTGTTGATGGCAGTATTAGAGGTTAAGTGTGATTTTGTTTAGTTTTTTTTTTCTTCATTGTACATTAGGCAGTTTGAGTACAGTATTCATGCCTTATAAGGAAGGAAAAGCTTATGATCACTTATATTCATTCCTTTGTTGGTAGAATCACCTTCCTAACATAAAAACAGGGTCAGAGATGCTGAGAAAAAAATCCTAACATGTGTAAAATACTTTGCAAAGTAGAGGAATCATCCAGTGTATGACTTCAGAAATGCAGTCATTTTTTATCACATGACCATGATAAAAAAAAAAAAGTTCATTGTAAGGCGTACTACAGGAATTTTTCGGTGTAGATGGGTCTAGTTGGTTTTCAGGACCCAGCACAGACATTATGTGGCTTCTGATTGGAGAACTGACTCCTTGCTTAACCCACTTCCATGACCACCGTGATGTGTCATAACCAAAATGGAGTAATTAAATACCATTACGCTGGTATTTTATGTACATAAATCATTAAAATTCTCAACATGTTTTTTGGCAACAAACCCAAGAGAAAACGCAGCACAACTCTACTCACCCAATAATTTATAAATGACAATGGAACTTTAAAGCACGCCTTCCTTTAAAAAACGGCTTTATTTAAGTGATTGTTTTTACTTGTAATGTGATGGGGTGCTCAGACGTTAAATAGTTAATCATAGAAATACATATTGTAAGTGATCTGCCCTTTTTTAGCTTTAGACATGAATAAAAAATCATCATCAATAATCCGAATCGTATAATAACTTCAATTACTTTAGTTGTTTTATCATATCTTAACGTTTACTGTTTTCACACATGGATTTCTGCTTTTATTTTGGGCTACAAGAAGTGCCTGCGTGCAGATTTTAGAACGTGAGGTTTCAGCTGCTCCGCTTTAGAACTTTTTTGCTTTACAGTCAGTCTTACTGATCCTCAGCCACGTTTCTCACATTTCAGATGTTACAGGGGAACAGCAGATCAATGGTGGACTACACGCCTCGATTAAAGGGTCTACAGACACAGATGGCACTTACAATGTACCAAATGTTCAACAATGTTCAAACACTGACAGATCTGCTGTTTTATTCTCCTTAATTCTGCAAATAACTTGGGCTGCCTGTCAGTGGGGCTGTGCCGACTGTATTCTTACAAAAATACATTTATGCATAAGTTTCTCATCGTCCTTTTGGATTGCAGTTGTTCAGCACAGACATAATTTGCTTCAACATAACAACTTTCAACTCTAAAGTAATTTCAGTTGGATTGTTTTTTTTACCTAGAATAACAGTAGTAGGCTTCCCTGTGATTGAATAAACACGAATGAGACACCATGGATTAAATAACATCAAATAAATATATATATATGACTAAAGATAATGTGAATGCGACCTTAAAGCAATATCTGAGTTTCTGCATGATTTATGAAAGATAGATTTTCATCAAAAATGAGGATGAAGGCAACAGCTTTCGTGATTCCACATAATTCACAATGTCATCCTTTGTTACAGTTTTAATTTTGAGACCTCAGCAGCAGTCTTTACGCGTTCAAACTGAATTATTCTCAGACACAAACTGTGGTTACCAGGACGGGGCTTCATTGTCCATTGTTTCTTTTCATTTATTGATTGCCTCGTTGCAAAATCTGCTGTCTCTCACCTGTAGCCAAACCCAACAGCGAAGTCCTGAAATAGTCATACACAACCGCAACAAGGTGAGGAGTTTATCCCACAGAGAACATCAAAAACAACAACGCTGAATCCTAGACTTATAGGAAAAAACACAACCTGGCTGTCCACAGTTTTTGCCGTTTCCAGGCCGTTTCTCCTTAGTTCCATGTGGCCAGACAAAGTATCACATTTTTTCCAAAGAAAAACAGCTACAAGGTACATGCTCCACAGTGGGGGTCTCCTCACAACAAAGGAGACGTGGTTTTATTGTGGTCAATAATTCTTTTAAAGTACAAAGCAAAAAGAGAAATAAGAAAAAAGATACATAAGAAGTGGTTCTTCAAACAGAATTGTGTTAATACGTCAGATCAACTTTACCGTTGCTTGGATCTAAACTTTTTCAGTATTTCCTTTCCAAAAACAAATTAAAATGCACATTTTCAAACTCAATCCTGCAACTTTAACATGCGAGGGCGCGGCGTTAACCGGCCAGCGGTGAGAGCGGTGGCAGCAGCTAGAAGACAGAGCACAAAATGGAGATAAAGAGGCTAAAAAAGAGAAGCAGACAGACAATTAAAAGACAAAAAGAAAACAAAGCAAAGGAATAGGAGAGAGAAAGAGCGACAGTGTGAGACCGCGAGTGTGTAAATAGAGCTTAAATGTGCAGTAGGAATGAAATTCGCCTTGGGATTGCCGAGGTAAACAAGGCAGCCGAGGCTTTGGTGGAGATGCTAATAAAACAGAGCTGTTCTTATCAGCTGAGCAGATGGCCTAACCCATCACATCTACTCAAACAGGGCCTAAGCCATCAGCATTCTAATGAAATTATTTATGATCGAAGATTACATTCAAAACCTTGAACACACAACTCGGCGTTTACCTTCCTGAAAAGATGGGAGCAGGCGGGTTCAGAGGAGGTTTATGATCAGAATAAGACAGCCAGAAAAAGGGGAAGGTGGAATGAGTTGGGGAATGTATGGGAGGGAGTGTACGTGAGTGTTTATGGACACAAATGATGAGAAAGAAAAAAACATACACAAAAAGTGAAAAAGGGAAAGGTGAGAGGGGTGAGGGCGAAAACACTTCGGTGGGCTTTGTTTGGGCTAGTGGAGGTTGGTCACCGGGGAGAGGGGGAAGGACAGACAAACAAACGATGCTCTGAGTGAAAAAAGTATAACTGGTGGTTTGTTTTTTGGAGGGCATGTCGCCCCTGTGGACCGCCCCTGCCCTGTAACTCCTGTCTCCACCCGTCTGACCCCTCTGCCCCGGCGCACACCCTAAGCGCCTCCCTTGACAGTGGGGTTGCTTAGCCGGCTAAGCCCGGGTCAGGCACCTTGACCAAGGGCACAGCTCGCCACCTACTCCCCCGGCGCCTACAGGTATCATTTCCCCCCCCCCCCCCTCTCATTTGATATCCGGGCTGGAAGCATGGGAATAAACCCGGGAATGACATAAAGGGGGAAGGTCCGGTAAGAAAGACGAAGAATAGGGAGGAGGCATGAAAGGGGATGAGGAATTAAGAGCAGTGGCCAGGAGGAGGAAAAAAAGGGATAAATAGGGTAAAGAGAAAGGAGGAAGGATGGGAGATTGAGGGAGGAGAGAATTGATCTGTGAATGGTTAGTATGCAGCCCCCGCTCCCCCCTTCCCCCCATCCCTCCTTCCCTCTCCCTCCTTCTCTCCTCTCCCATCAGTCAGTGAGGGCTGAGAGTATGTTGTGGACCACTGCCCGGATGCCTCATACATATTAAAGCCCCCTGCTATTATTTATATCATGTCTCTCCTTCCCCTGCTTGCTGCCCCTCATCCCCTCCACACCACGTACATACACGCACGTGCATCTTCACACGCGCGCGCACACGCACGCGCGCGCACGCACACGCTGACAAACAACTGCTCACACAAACAATGACACACAATGACACGGGATGACATAAAAACAGACAGTCTGGTCACATACACAGAGAAACAGAGGCGCGCCGTGTGCTTGCATACACACACACACACACACACACACACACACAGTCGCGCAGACACACACACACACACAGAAATTTGAATGATCTGGGTCCCTCCTCACGTCTCCCCGCGCGCCACATTCTATACCTGTTTTTATGTCTGAGCCTGACTCATCCTCTCAATCGCTCCGTCTTTTTCTCATCTTCTCATTTTAATCTGATCTATTTCCAATCCCTCCTCCTGCCTCTGATGGAGTGATATTATTCGGATAGGTCTTAAGCCCAGTAAAGCCCATAAGGATCTGTTTGTCTCGCTACCTTGTTTTCCAGTCGCACAGGACCATGGGGACTGTGTCCCTTTCAAAAGGCTGGTCCAGGGTTCTGGGCAGAGGTGATTTTAGGGCTCGTTTGAGAATTGCATTTTGCTTGTTATGTACAGATCTTTTATGAGGGTTTTGGGATCTTAAAAAATAATCAAAGGAAGGTTTACCTAAGGTTTAGCCTTTAACGCTAAGGGGACCACTCGCCATCATTTTAATTGTATGAAAATGCAGTCTCTTAATACTGATTTTTAAAATAAATAAATGAGGGAATCCATCTTGATATCAGTGTTAAAGGGGATGCAGCAGAGTAATTACTCCTTGTTACATCTGCATGAAGAGGCAAGGAAGGATCAGAAGGATAAATAAAAAACATTTATCGATTACGGAGGAACCAAAGCTTCTTAAGCTTCTTATTTAAGCATGCTGGGTCATTATATTGGGGTCTTAAAACTCTGAAATCAGGAAGAATTTGATGGAGTTAAGGGGGAAGGTGTTATTTAGTCTCCCTATTCCCCACACTCGGTTACTGTGAGAAGCAAGTAAGGTTTCCACAACAGCCAGAAGACATGAGGGAGAAATAAATAAATTACACCTCAACCACAATCGTTGGAAGGTGAAATGCGCAAACTTTTTGCCAGCTGAAATCCAAACACACAGAGCTATATGCTCTCTAAGACTTCCCTCAGCAAAGCAGCTTTGTCTATCAGAAATGCTCTTTTGTCAGGGTTGGAGCAAGCTGAAGTCACTAGCAGATATCACCCTGCTCCATATTTACACGTTTAATAATAGCTCATGGAAAGCATCTTTTTTCAAATCTTAAAAAGTAACAAATTTTATAGTGTGACACACCAGCTCTCACATTAGCCTCGCCATTACAGTTTGGTTTTTGTTGTGTTTTAGTTATTCCTTTAAATCGAGTGTAAAAAAAAAGTGGAGAAAGATACAGGGAGAGGACTGAGGGGGGTGGCCTGTGCAGGAATATTTTAAATATGGCACTGAATGTAAAAATGAGAGCTCATTACGGAAATGCTATTGTGCCAAAAATCAGATCCTTCAGCCTTCCTTTTATAAAGGTTAAAATGCTGACATATGCATCCAGCTGTGTGTATTTATATATGTTATGTAGAGTTTGACAAGACACAGCATTGATTAGCAAGATGTCTTGTTTTTCCAGCGGTGGTTATTTATTTGTTTTTTTATTTGTTTTGATTTTGAAGCATAAATTGATATTGAAATAAAATATCCAATAGAATAAAAAACAATAGGGCATCTAGGCACAGCAAGGAACACCTTCAATTTAATGTCAGTTTCTCTTTTTCTTGAGTAAAAAGTAGGCTTTGTTTGCTTATTTTCCTTTATTTTGCTTGTATTTTGACATTTTGCCACATTTTCCCTGCTCTAAACCTGTATATTTTACTTCGTGTTGTTAGATATGTGCAGAACATTTCTAAGCATTTAAGATGATTTGGCTGTTACGGGTGGTCCACATTCATTTGGACAGTCATTTGTAAAGTCTGTCCAAAGTATGCCACGGTGTTATTTCTTATGCCTAGCAAGTATACTGAGGCCAATATTAGCATATTTATCATCCTATGGAAAGGATGTAGACATGAATTTTGCATTTTTGTGACACCTAGCGTGAATGAACTAATATGCCACAGTTGTAGATGTCTTTTAGCTTGCATTAATTTTGGTGTCATTTGCAGAGGTGGGCACAACCCACCAGCCCACTAGCTCGAGAAGTCTGGTTTGGAGCATAAAGTAAATGTTTTTTTATAGCATAGACCAAGCAAAAGGGGTTTACCTACACGTTAACAAATTATCAAATGAAATTTAAAGTAGAGACAAAAAAACATGTGTTGCTGTTGCTTTGTTTGCATTCTTCTGGTAGTTTAAATGAAAAAAATAACTATTTTTTATTGGTGTAACATTAGGTAGTTGCTTCTCCTTAACATTTAAGCGATCCCTTGCTGCTTTATGAGAGAAATAAAACATTTGCGCGCTAATGTCTTTTATCCTAGCACTTGCTGTTGGACATTACTGCCCTTCAGGGCCAAACATAACCCCCTCTCTAGAACCAGTCTAGCTTAAGTTGTTCATACATTGTCCATGTATTACTTCATTATGGAGTTAGTTGTAAATATGTTACATGCATCGCAAAATACGCTAATCTTTATGGTTGGATAAGCTTTGGTGGTTTGGGTTTCATGCCCTAAACTGTGTCAAATAGAGTAATTGGAAACTGTCGATGTCTGCTATTACTGATCATACATTCTGTACAAACACACGCTCACAACTGGAAACACTGGCTTAGCACCTGGGTACAGCTGATGATGGCCAAATAACGTATCTTATATTTATTATTCAAGTACATGTAGGTTGGGTCCCTCTGTGTTATTTAAAAGTAAACAACAGAAACGCAAAGTACAGGCCTGCTGAAATGAGCATGTGAAAACTGTAATCAGTCCTCCTACGCTGTCTGGGAATTCTTAATAGAATTACCTTCTGTTTTCACGCATGGGTTCATTAAATAATTTTAGGGAACTGTCTGGATAAACGTACAAAATGTCTGGTGCTTCTAAAGGCAGCATTTTTCATCATTACCCGTGAATGAAGCCCTTCCCGAACATGTCTGGGAAACCTTCAAGGCTGCAGCAAATGTGTGAAAATGTCTTTAAGGCCAATTCAAGGCTTTCATGTCTGAATGAGAAAAACCGAATAACACTTTAGGAAGGCACACGCAGATTCTTTCTTGCTGTGCGATCAGTTTATTAAAGAAAGATAAATGCCCTGGGTTTCAGCAGATGTCCTTCCACATTCTCTTCTTATAAACACATGTTGGTTTTTCATTACATCCATTTGTAGCTGCCACAAAATCTTTTGTGTTTCAGAAATTTCCCTGCGAATGGGGTTGGTATCTTACAGGTGGCACTTCTTAAAACCAGGACGTTAAGAATTTTAGACCAGGATGTATTGGGCTTTAAAAAAAAAAAAAAAAAAACTTCCACCCTTTTTATCTTCCCCCCTCTCTTAAGAGTTTCCTTCATCTTTCCTGCCCACCACTGGTCACTCTCATTCCTTTGCTCCCACCTTTCCTGTTCCCTTTCTTCCTTCCCCCGGCTGTGATGTCCTTGAGAGCCTGCTGAAGCTCCCATAAAGCCCGCAGTAAATGGCTCTAATCCGGTAATAAATGGCTGTGTCCTACAGACAAGGGTGTGAGGCTGCTGCAGCTATGGTTTTATCTGATGGAATGGTATTGCTGCACATACACACACGAGAAAACATTCACAGATGTAATAGAAGCTGCATAGGTGTGTGTAAGCCTGCATGCTCGCCCCCTTCTCTGTTTCTTTCCCTCGCGCACACGTGCGCACACACACACACACGCCCGCACTCATTCATACGGCTTCAGATGAAAACACACCTCCTCAGATTGTGCTGCTTTTATGGATGGCATGCAAGAGCAGCCCCAATATTACCTTTAAATGATTAGAGATGCAAGTGTGATGCATTATGATGATAGAATCATATAGAGTTGTTTCGCTGCTCTTTATGTCTACTGGGAAAGACTTTAACTGAATGAATGAGCAGTAAGGGACACCGAATAAGAAGAATAGTAATGTGACCTTTGGAGATTGTTGGAGTTCACCTGTTTTTAATCAGCAAATACAATTGATTTTTATCTTCCCCCGGTTTTATTTGTGTACTACTGTAGTGACATGGTCCTTTGAGAATGAAATGTGTGTGTGTTTGAGAAGAGGGGGGGTTGTCGTACAACCTCCACATTCCTTGTTGAGTTGTAACCCAGAGCGGTGCTTTCATTTTCCTGTCATAACGTATATTGATTTTCCCTGTGTGTGTGTACTGTACTGGCTCACATGCAGTTATCTGCGCTCTAAGGGGGGTCCGGGGTTTTGATTGGTGTGTGTGTGTGCGCGCGCTCGTTCTTCAGGTGGAGCTGACTGGCAGCAGCGTGTTTGACTACATTCACCCGGCGGACCACGTGGAGATGGCCGAGCGGCTGGGAATCAGGCCGCACCTGCGGGCCGAGGCGGGCTGCCACACCGGGCCCGAGAGCGCCTCCAGCTCCGCCTCCACCTCCTCCCTTGCTGGTACACCTGAACCTGGTACTTTTTCCTTATGACATAAGCGGTTGTGACATAGACCACTTGTGCTAATATCAGATTAATGACACAGAATCTATGTTTCCATCCTCCTCCTCCGCAGCTCCGTCCAGTCCACACTCTCCCGCCGACGAATCTCCAGACCGAGGCTTCTTCATCCGCATGAAGTCCACGCTAACTAAGAGAGGCCTGCACGTCAAGTCTTCTGGCTACAAGGTGAGAAAGAGGAAATAATTTTGCCAATTTTAGATAAAAAAATGTGTTCGTTTTCATGCGCGCTTTCATTTCCCAGCTTGTTCTTTCGATAAGAAAAGTAATTAGATAAAATTAACAAGCCCAACCTCGTCGTTTTGTTCTGTGCTGCCAGTGTTTCGTCGCGCTGTCAAGTTGTTTTTTTTCCTACGTTTTACGGTGTGACCTTATTTCTCTTTGAACAGTTTAATGCACTCACTATTCGAAATACCAGAGCTCCAACTTCCCCCCCCTATTTTTTTTTTTACAGCTGTTATTACAGTAAACGCTGATCGTCGAGTGTAAAATTTCCGAGTTGCTTTTCTCTTTTTTCCTCTTCACTTCTTTATCATCTCTCAGTTCATTAATCAATTGAATTTCGGCTGGATAAAGCAATTAGTTATCTTCCGGCAAATTGGGTTTGCATGAATTAATCTACTCTCCTTATCAGGTGATCCACGTGACTGGACGGATCCGCTGTCGCCCCGCGCTCGTCCCGGGCTCCACGCGCTCAGTCCGCCGCCCGATGGGCTTAGTCGCACTGGCGCACACGCTCCCGCCCTCCACGCTGAACGAGGTCCGCATGGAGAGCCACATGTTCGTCTTCCGAGTCAACATGGATCTGCAGATCACGTACTGCGAGAACAGGTGAGGGCGGTCGTCTCTATGTGTCTCGGCAGGTTTATGAAAATGTGCCAGCTGACGGCTTTAGAAAGACACGTCTGCTTCTGTTTGGTTGACACGTACTTTTTTTTTTTTTTCCCCCCCGTTGCTGCACAGGATCTCAGAGTACATGGATCTCACCCCGGCAGAGGTGGTAGGACGTACCTGCTATCACTTCATCCACGTCGAAGACCTGGAAAATCTCCGACAGAGCCACGAGGACTGTGAGTCAAATCCATACCAAGTGTCATTCAACCCCCGTCTCCTTTATTTCTCACAGTATCTGAACTTGAGGGGTGAGGGGGGGATTGAGGACTTGGAAAGCCTGTTGAAGAGTTGAACTGTTCTGTTGTTGTAGGCGCCCTCTGCTGCTGCCGTCCTGAACTGCCAAACCAATAACAGGCTGTTTTTTATTCTGTCCCCTCTCCCCCTGTTACGCCTCCTCATTTCACACCTTCCACCGGTCTCCCCATTAGTACTGAGGAAAGGCCAGGTTGTGACGGGCTACTATCGATGGCTGCAGAGGAGAGGAGGCTACCTGTGGATTCAGTCCACCGCGACTGTGTCCATCAACCATAAAGCTCCCCACGAGCGCAACGTCATCTGGGTTAACTATGTCCTGAGGTCAGTGTGGACACAGTCTGTTGTCAGATAGTCCCTGTTATGAGCCCAGTTTATGCAGGCAGACACCACACCGTCTGTCTACAAAAGAGCTGGAAAATGGATAGATGGTGAAACGTAGTGAGGTTGCTGGAGGAGAGTTTGTGTGCTTGGGGGAAACATGGGGGGGAAAAATGGGCTTGAAAACGATTATCATAGCTCCTTTTTTCCATCTAAAGTTAAAAACACCTAGTAAATATAAACAAAGGGGAGCATATTTGCTCTGGTATGAAAATTCTATATAATATATAATGTTTAATTACAAATTACACTCCAAATGTTGCCTTATTCTTGGTCCCGTCTTAGTATATTTAGTACACAGACCATGAAAAAAACATGATCAAAATATATTTATATATGCATAAACTGCACACAGAATGCATGCTCAACAGCAGAGCAATCACACAAAAACAAGAGTAGGCTGAGTTTCAGCGCTAATTAGGCTGAAGCTATATAATTAGTACAAATGGATGTCAGAATTTTAGGTCTGAATGGTGTTTTAGTTAATTAGTGCTGTAATTACAAGTGCTCATTAATTTCTCCAACAGCCTCCTCCTTGTTTGAGCTTATCTCCGTATAGGTGGGCTGCTAAGTGCGGCAGAGTGTGTGCGCGTGTGTGCTAAACGTGTGTTTGTTTGTGTGTGTCGAAGGGTGGGGTCTGCTCATATGTCTATTTGCATTTGCTAATGCTCGCATTTTTTGCGTTAAGGGCTGTTTGAGGGGTTTATGTGTGTTAGCTGAAGGTTACAGGGTGTGAGGCAGTTTTGCTATGGGAGGCTGTTATTAAGCTGATTACATGTTGTTTCCAACTCTAAGTATTCACTCAAGCCAGGACAGCCAGTAGTTTTTTTTTTATGTAAGTGGCTTTAAGTGGTTGATGGTCATTGTGTGTATATTTGCTTTTTCTTTCTCCATTTCCACTTTCAAATCTTTCCATCCAGTCGAACGGAGCTGCCCGACACTCCCCTGGATCTGCTGCAGCTACCGGAGAGCATCAGAGCGGAGCGAATTCGAGTTAGCTCCTCCCCCTCCGACAGCTCCCCGCAGGCTCGAGGTTCGAAACTTTACACATCGCCATCTTCCCCGGCTGTCTGCTAGCAGATGTGAACGCCTTCACACACATGCTCACACCGTTTTCCTTAATATCTCCCTCCCTCTGCAGGCTCCCAGCCGGCCAAGAGCTCGGTGGGAAAAAGTGACCCTGACACTAAAGGCAGAGAGAAATTCCCCACCGCCGCCGTCCAGTCCGAAGACAGGAGGAAGCGCCCCCTGAGGTCCGACCCCGAGGGCGCCCCCCCCGAAAGCCGGCGCAGGCTGGAGGAGCTCCGGCAGACGGAGGAGGCGGTGTCGGCCTCCTCGGACATGGCGAGCGAGAGCGAGGGGGAGGAGGAGGAAGAGGCGGAGTGGGACCAGGTGGGGGACAGCGACAGACTGAAACAGGAGGACAGCGGGGGAGGAGGTAAACAGGGCCGGGGGGGAGACACTCCGACCGGAGGGGAGAGGGCGGGGAAGGCCCACAACGGGCGAGCGGTCATCCAGCAGCTGAAGAGCGCGGCGACCCCGTCTCCTTTGCCCGGCAGCCCCAGCATCAAGACTGAGCACGAAGCCCTGACCACCGGGGGGCGCTGGGGATCCCACGCGCAGACCCCCGCCGCCCACACACACACGTCCCAGGCCCAGCAGTCGCACCCGCACACGCCGGCCAGCAGCCTGAACGGCGACAGCCCCACGACCCCCATCCCGGACTCCTCGTCCAGCAGCGAGGCGCCGTCCAAAGGCCTGTTCACCCCCCCGTCCCCGGCCATGTCCCCGGCCATGTCCGTGTCCTCCCCGCTGCCCCGCGAGGAGAGGCCCGTGTCGGGGCCGGCGGGCCGCGGCGCCGGCTCGGGGAACGGCCCCGACTTCGAGCTGCTCCAGAGACTGGCGGCGGGCGGGGCGGCGGGCCGGGTGCTCTTCCACCCCCTCGCCCTCGGCCCGCAGGGCCCCCAGAGCCTGTACGCCCCCAGCACCATCCGCTACGCCCCGCCCGAGCTGCCCCCCTCCCACCACCACGGCGCCGGACACAACGATGGCCTGCAGCTACGCTCGGACCACCACAAGGGACCCCCGCCGGCCTTCTTCCCCCACCTGCAGCGGCTGGCCGGCCTGCCCCCCTTCAGCGGTTTCTCCCCGTCCGACAGCCCTTTCTCCTCCAGCCTCCCCTTCTGTATGAATGGACTGAGGGGGGCCGCGGGGACAGAAGAGGACTGAGTCTCGCAGGGGGGGGGGGGGGGGGGAGGAGGAGGCGAGAGGAGAAAATAAAAAATGACGGGCCGCGCGAAGTGACAGAGAGAGACGTTGAAAAGGGCAAGAGAGACACAAATGGCTGGACATTAAGCCTCTAAGGACAATACTAATTGGAAAATGAGTTGAATAACTGCGATGTAAAGCGTGTGACAAGCGGCTGCCACAGGAGTTTCCTGTGGACGAGTGACAGCAACTCTCAGAGAAAAATGGGACACGGGAACTTTTGACTGGCCGTCCCTCAAGACTTTTTGACTCCACAACAATAATGAACTCTGCTCTGTGTCTTTCTCTAGATGACTGTGTTGATTTATGTGTCTCTTCCACTCAGAGAAGCCATATTGTACATAAAGACAAAACCATGAAACCCCTCAGCTCACATCCTCGTTACTTTTACTCCAATTAACCCAATTAACCCGGAAAGAAGCGGAGAGACAGACTCTGTGGGGATGAAAGTGACTTTGGGATAAAAAAAATTGTTGTTTCTATCATTGCAGTATTATAAAAAAAGAAAAAAAAACATCTCTTACGCTGTGCTCCAGATGATGATTTGATTTTAGGCTTTCCTCTAAAATGGATGGAGGACAGCCTTTTCATTGTTTTGTATTCGGACGCAAAATAATGATAGAGAATTTTAAAAAAGCATTCATCTTTCAGCCATAATTAAAGCACACTGTTGGGACAAGCGTATGAGAAATGTAGTCCCAGACATTCCAGTATATAGATGGGAACAAAATGCAATGCAGGCAGGATGTTATTTCTCTTGTTTGTTCATAAGATGGTAGTTTGTTGAAATAAGTGTTTATTACAATATATTCTTTATGATGCTGCAGTTGTGTTTGTGTATGCAAGCCATATTAATGTTTTTATGGTTTTATTTTTATTCTTTTCTGCTTTTATAAGCTCAAACACATGGACGAAGGGTCTTTAATAAGTCGTAACAGATAAAATAACAGACATTTATTGGATGTAGAGTATCATCCTAATCCTTTTTTATGTTTTGGGGGGTTTTTTTCCAGCGCTTGAAAAAAGATGCTTCTGAAAACGGTGCTGGACAGAAGTGTTTTTGTCATCCGGACCTCTTCTGAGCACTTAGTGAAATCTGTCCTGCTGTGAACTCAAAAGCACTTCATGACTCGGATGTGTGATCCTGTTAAAACAGAAAACAAAGCGGAAGTGGTCACTAATATCATAGCCTAACTTCAGTGCTGTTGAGGGGGGAAAAGCGCTCATATAAAAAGAAAAGGTCGATAAATAAATGACATGTAGTCATTAAAATATGACCATTAGAGGTCAATAAAACAACAGAATTATTCACAGGCCCGATGGAAGTTTGAAAAAGTGGAAATACGAAACACTTTAAATTTCTTTATCTTACTGATCCGTTGCAATTCTTCTCAAGACTGAGAAGACATTTTTCTAGTGTTAAAATTAGTGCAGGTATTAAGTGATACTGAGAATTTTCATCCCAAAAATGTAGAAATTTGAAAAAGTGACCCTTTTTAATAAAATGTTGGCATCACTGCAGCCAGAAATACTGTTAAGAACTTAGTAAAGTTTAACAATGATAAAAAAAAAATATTATATGAAAACATTTTCTAGCACTTTGGAATAAAGTATTTTAAACCAATCTATGAAATACTTGGACATGTATGTTATCTGTTGGAGTCTACGGCACTTTTTTTTCTTTGTTTTTTTGCCTCTAAATTGAGATTATTGTCGAGTCTGATCTGAGGGTTCTGTTTATGTGGAAAACTGTTCATGTTCCTATGTCTAACAGGGGAAAAAAAGTGGAAAAAATCGTTTAGATCTGGTGTGTGCAACGAACCCATCCTGTAGCTGTCACATACAAACACAGCGTGTGTATGTGCACACACGCTTTCTCGGATGTTTACTGGTATAAACTGTGGGTATGAATGCGCGAGTGTGCGTTAACTTGTATGTGGTTGTCTTTTCGTTCCTCCTTTCTGTTTCTTGTTGTTGTTGTCGTTGAATAATACAGCTAACCCCTTTGCCCATCACTGTGAATCTAACATTATCCTCCCATGTTTGTGAATACTTCATCCAACCATCAAATGAAACAAACAAATGTAAAAAAAATAAAAACAGTGATACAGATGATGATAATAAAAAAATATTCCAGTAGAGGAGCACAACTCAAGCTTTTGTTGACTCTTTTCTTGTCCACCACAGGATGGAAATTCACTTCACTTTAACATGGTTGATGGGATTCGGGTTGTGTTATGAGCAGGTGTCCGTTCCTCACATTTTCAGATTATTTTTTGCTCTGGATATTAGTTACGGCATCAATTTTACTGAAACATTTACCAGATATTTAGGAATAGCTTTTACAAGTCTTTGCATGAATTACATTCAAATGACCCACAGAAAAGGGTAAGAAATTAAAGGAATCACAGGCTGGACGGTGACCACAAACAGTTTTCTGTTTCGCCATCATATTTTTAACCAAGCAAGAAGAAAATGTTACAACAATATTAATCCTTATTTGAAAAAATCAGCATGTGGAGCAGGTCAGAGCGTCCCTGGCAGGACATCAGTGGAGCACTACGAGAAAAGACTTGGACATGAATTGATCTAAAGCGAACACAAAAGAACAGAGTGCGCCTCACTTATCAGAGACTATATATATGCGGGTGCGCGGCACATCATACACGTGTGTCCACCAGTGGTTTTGCCTGCGTGTCTGCGGGGGGTGCGTACGCGCGCCTGTGTGTGTGTGTGTGTGTGTGTGTGTGTGTGTGTGTGTGCGCGCATCTCGGCGAAATTTGTGTGTGTTGTCTGAAGCGGCCCCAGGGAGGGGCTCTGACATTGAAGACGGGTTAAATCCTGTTTTACATTCAAGTGGCAGGCCCTAGTTCATTAGAGTGAGGATCATTCCTCCTCAAGACCAAAGGAAGCGCATACTAAACAAGAGCAGTTGTTGGGGAGAAAATGCCATTGTACGTGCAAAAACCGTATGCACTGTATAGGAGGGTGTGTGTGTGTGTGTGTGTGTGTGTGTGTGTGTGTGTGTGTGTGTG